TCAGTCCTCCTCCTCCTCCCTCTCAGTCATCCTCCTCAGTCATCCTCCTCAGCCATCCTCCTCAGCCATCCTCTTCAGCGATCCTCCTCAGTACTCCTCAGTCCTCCTCCTTCTCAGTCCTCCTCAGTCCTCCTCCTCAGTCATCCTTCTCCTCCTCCTCCTCCAGGGGGGATCCTGTTTTTTATCCGTTTTTTCCGTTCGGAACCCTATATTATCAAAACGGACAAAAAATAGAGCGGACAAAAACGGACAAAAAATAACAAAAATGGAAATAATATTTAGATGCTTCCTCCTCCTCCTCAGTCTTCCTCAGTCATCCTCCTCCTCCTCCTGAGTCCTCCTCCTGGGTCCTCCTCCTGGGACCTCCTCCTCTTGGGTCCACCTCCTCTTCATCCTCCTCCTCTTCCTCCTCAGTCCTCAGTTCTCCTCCTCAGTCTCACTCCTCCTTCTCAGTCCTCCTCCTCCTCTTCTTCCTGGTTCCTCCTCTTGGGTCCTCCTTCTCCTCCTCAGTCCTCCTCCTCTTCCTCCTCTTCCTGGGTCCTCCTGATCCTCCTCAGTCTTCTTCCTCCTTCTACTCCTCAGTCCTCCTCCTGCTCAATCCTCCTCTTCCTCCTAAGTCCTCCCCTCCTCAGTCCTCCGAAGTCCTCCCCTTCTCAGTCCTCCTCCTCATCAGTCCTCTTCACCAGTCCTCCTCCTCAGTCCTCCTTATCCTCATCGTTTATCTCCTTTCTCCTCCTCATCCTCCTCATACACCTCCTTCTCCTCATCAGTCCTCCTCCTCACTCCTCAGTCCTTCTCCTCCTCCTCCTCCTCCTCGTCCTTAGTCCTCTTTATCAGTCCTCATCAGTCCTCATCGGTCCTCCTCCTCCCCAGTCCTCCTCATGGGGCCTTTTCCTGGGTCCTCCTCCTCTTGCGTCCTCCTCCTCTTGAGTCCTTCTTCTCCTCCTCCTATTCATTCCTCCTCCTCAGTTCTCCTTCTCAGTCTCACTCCTCCTCAGCCCCCTCCTCTCCCTCCTCAGTCCCCCTCCTCAGTCCCCCCTCCTCCTTTTCCTCTCTTTCATCTCTCAATAATTTGTTCAATTTATAATTATTGTTGGTGTTATTGTTAACATAATTTATTGTTATATACTAAAATGTTTTTAAGCGCATTTGAGTCTGACTCAAAATGTGCTCAAGAATCTTTGTGTTTAACAAAGTTTTACTCTCCAGTAATAAAACTTTTCATCCCTTTTTATGTTATTAAAAAATGTGTAGACTATTCTTTGTGCCTAATTGAAGATTAAAAGTTTGAGAAAGGACCATGGTCATTAACCGGGCTACCCATTTCTGCAGATAGCCTGTTACAAATTGTGGAGAAAATTTAAATCAAAAGTTACAATTTTTGTCCGTTTTTGTCCGTTTTTGTCCGTTTTTGTCCGTTTGGCAGCTATATTTTCAAAACGGACAAAAATTAACGGACAAAAACGGACAAAAACGGACAAAAAATAACATGATCCCCCCCCCTCTGACCGAGAATTTTTTAAGTCACAAATTTTCAAAGTTTTTCTGAAAACCAATCTTCTCCACGTTTCATTCTACCCTGTTCATTATTAGCCGAAAATATTTTTTCAATTTTCGAAGTCAAAAATATTTCAGTTATTCAGATATATTTCAAGTAATATCCTAAAATCACTTTCCTTTGCTTGGTCTAAAAATCCAAAATTGAACCGAACTTGTTATCTTGAATTTTAATCTATATTCTATGGAGTTAATACTGAATAGCCATTAGCCAATAATCATAATATGTTTTTTGTGGTATACAGTGTAATTAGATAGCTTGTTCCCGCTTTTACCAGCATTTTGCATGTTTATTCGTAACCCCCTTTGCTGATGGTGACGGAATATGAAGGTCACGTGTTCAGGGCCGGGTATCTTACGCATGTGACTCCATACTGGACTCTACACAATCACGTGACTCAGCTCTAGACGCCCGATGGTAATTAGCTCTGTACTAGACAGTGGCTGCTTGCGAACAACCCTGTTAAGCTCCGCTGTTTGTAAGTCACGTGACACAAATAGAGCGTTTCTATTGGCTTTCAAATGATCACGTGATATCGATCCTGCACTCTGATTCGCTCCCAGGCTGCATCTCAGCACGCATTGCCTATAAATAGCCAGGCCAAGATACCATCGGGTTCCATTCGTTCTCTTCCGTAGTCTGTTTGGCACTCTTAGCCACTAGCCAGTGCCCCTCTTCGTCTTATCACTCATGTAGAGATAAGAGAGCCGTATCGTAGGGCATGTTTTCGTTGAGCGCCGAACTTCCGTTCGTTCTTTGAATCACAGACTTTATTCCTGCTTGCTTTGAAACTTCCTCACAAGTGTGGTCACTTGTTTCAACTTTCGAGGATGTAGGTCTCACCTCTCAGTGCCTATTACTCACTCCTGCTGTAGCCTGTAGAAATAACTTTACACTAGGCTTGAGTAATGAGTTTGCCTGAAGTGTGCCACCAACCTAGTATAATAAGCATCTAGTAGCCTACTATGAGCTTTCATAAGCTTGTTACGCCCCTAGTAAGCGTAAATAAACATGTTAGAATGTCCAATTTAGGTGTTAAATGGTGTTAAAGATGAAATTTCGAAGATAAAATTGGGTTTTTCCATTTTCTCCATATAATATAATAGAAAAAGTCTCCATTTTATGCCATTTTATGCCATTTTATGCCATTTTATGCCATTGCCCCCCCCCCCCCACTTTCGCTAAATCCCACACTAGGAACTCAACCTAGGCCCATCTCTGCATAGCAGGGACAGAAGGAAATCGCGGCATGTACGGAATCGCGATTTTTCCCATTATTTGCGACAAATTTTATGACGTATAGTTTAATGTATAGTCTGTTTAAATTCGCGGTATCGCGATTTTTGGCCAAAATAATCGCGAAATCCTTTTGTCCCTGCTGCATAGAGACATATCTCCCAGGCTTTGACCTTGCTCGGAAGTCCCTTGTCTGCCCGCAGAAGTACTACAACGGAAGTGGGTTTACTCTGAGCCAGGTAGCGACAGCTTCAAGACTCCAGGGGTCTGTTGCATTGATATTTATTATTTTATGATTTCGTATTTACTTTGGGAGTCCTGGCGTGCAGCTAGCAGGAGTTGCATTCTGTGGGCATGGTGATAAGACCTCCCTCTTAAAGTAGAGGCCAGAAACCGTTGACCGGAACAGAGAGAGAGAGAGAGAAGGAAACATTTTGGAAGATTTTTGAAGAGGAGCATTTCTGCTGTCCCCTTGACCGAATTTTCGCAGTTTCAACTGAAATTTTTACCAGTGACCAATCAGTTGGTTGTGGAGACGCAAGATGTCTTGGCCTGGGCGTGCTGGCCCGAAACGAACCCAAGGTACCCAAGGTAGGTAGTGAGGTCGGTGAGAGTGACACAAGTCACCATCAAGGTACAGGAAGCAGTATTCCCGGAGAAAACTTTGATGCAATGAAAATTTTGAATATATCCTACCGGTAGGATATATTCGAATTTCAGCTCTCCTCGACCCATATTTCAATGTTTTGACTTAATTTTTCATTAATGACCATCTTAAAGGGTCATTGAGGATAGCACAAGACACGGTTAAGGTAATGAAATTTCTATTCCCAAAGAAAGCTTTGATAAACGGAAAATCATCAGAATATAAATTTTATAAAGAGAGATTTTGGAAGATTTTTGAAGAGGAGCATTTCTGCCGTCCCCTTGACCGAAATATCGCAGTTTCAACTGAAATTTTTATCAGTGACCAATCAGTGAGGTCAGTTAGAGTGACACAAGTCGCCATCAAGGTACTGGAAGCAGTATTTCCGGAGAAAACTTTGATGCAATGAATATTTTGAATATGTCCTACCGGTAGGGCATATTCGAATTTCAGCTCTCCGCGAACCAAATTTCAATGTTATTTGACTTAATTTTTCTTGAATGGCCATCTGGATAGCACTGAGGATAGCACAATACACGATTGAGGTACTCAAAGTTCTATTCCCAAAGAAAGCTTTGATAAACGGAAAATCATCAGAATATAAATAAAGAGAGAGTTTGGAAGATTTTTGAAGAGGAGCATTTCTGCCGTCCCCTCGACCGAATTTTCGTGGTTTTTACTGAAATTTTTACCAGTGACCAATCAGTGAGGTCAGTTAAAGTGACACAAGTCGCCATCAAGGTACTGGAAGCAGTATTTTCGGAGAAAACTTTGATGTGCAATGAATATTTTGAATATGTCCTACCGGTAGGATATATTCGAATTTCAGCTCTCCTCGACCCATATTTCAATGTTTGACTTAATTTTTCTTGAATAACCATTTTACAGGGTCATTGAGGATTCACAAGACACGATTGAGGTATATAGTACTCAAAGTTCTATTCCCAAAGAAAGCTTTGATAAACGGAAAATCATCAGAATATAAAGAGAGATTTTGGAAGATTTTTGAAGAGGAGCTTTTCTAAAGTAAAGTAAAAGTAAAGTAGGATCATATATTCGAATTTCAGCTCTCTGCGACCCAAATTTCACTGTTTGACTGAATTTTTCTTAAATGACCATCTAATGAGTTCACTGAGGATAACACAAGACACGATTGAGGAACTCAAAGTTCTATTCCCAAAGAAAGCTTTGATAAACGGAAAATCATCAGAATAAGTCACCATTGAGATTCTGGAAGCTGAATATCCGGAAAAAATTATATGAGAAATGCAGAGATTTGTTTAATAACTTTTGAATTGGTAGATTGATTAAATTTTACTTCCAAAGCAAAATAAAGTAGTAATTTGATCTATGTTAGATTACTGTCATATTAAACTGAGGAAGTATTATAAAAACGTTGCATACATGCATTTTGGACATTTTTCATGTTTTGTTTCTGTTTGTAAATGGATCCAAATATAATAGCAAAACAATACCTGCAGAACCTGTAAAGTAGTAAATGTATAAGTTACAAAAACCATTTCATTTCAGTATAATTCAAATTTAAACCGTTATAATAGGCTATGACGTCGACTGGGGAGGGACCATCAGCAACTGGTTCCAGTAGCATTAGTGCAAACACCAGTCAGATATCCCTTGCTGACCAGTTTGCAAGAAGCACTGAAGAAGAAATACAATTTGCTCTCGACGAAATCAGGTCAGCTTATTTTCTAGTTTATTTTGGCTTGTAAATAATCATACTAAGCTACAAGGTGAGGTTGTTGTTTATCATATTATCAGAAAATTATTTTTTGCTACTAAACGGATATAACAAATTCTTGAAAACATGCTGTGAATCCAGGAAATCTGAAACTTGAACCTTTTATTATATTTGCCTAGTGTATAACATGTATATTACTGGTGAATATCATTCAGGAATGAGAATGATAAGCTGGAGAAAGAGACTGGGATTTTAACGAAATATCTTAAAAGAGTCGATCCAAAGGACATCCAAACCCAGATCAAAGGTCTAGGTTTGGCATTTATAATTTATAATCTTGTGCACCTTGTCTTGATTTACATGTTTTCGAATGTGCTTCATAGAATTTGTTCTAAAATTTAAAAAATGTTCTATTGAACTTGAAAGCATTATAAAGGAGACACAATTTTTCGATCGTTTTAGAAGCGTCACCGGTGCAGCAAGATGTTGTGCGAGTTCACAAGAGAAGATCACGCTCTCGCACCGGATCCACAGAACGACTTTTAAAACTTACTACTGAGCAGAAATGTGATATTGCCCAGCGTGAACACGACGAACTGAGAGAGGAGATCAACAAGTTCAAACACGAAACTGAGAAAATTCTTGACACTTACCGGGTAGGAAAAAAACAACTGTACTTATTACCAAGTGATAGTCTTTGAATTATCTTTTAAATATTTTTGAAATCTTCCCTCAGGAAAGGTATAGATTATAGATACATCTTACTATATATAAAGCGAGACGATAGTTATCTGTGCCATTTTACTGACACCACGGCATCAACTTTAACGCGACTTTCCGCAAAAACCGTAAAAGATATACAGCTGAAACTTTTTTGACTGGGTCAAATGCTTTAATAGCTTTCAAATCAGCATGAAAAAATAAAAAATTGGCCAAGGAATAGTGATTTTAGAGCACAAAATGTGGACCCCCAAGTGGTGTCTAAAACGCGAATTAAATAGGTAATAATTATTTTAGTCTCTTGAGTCTTGACACCACTTTAGGGTTATACGGGTTCCTGCTAGTAATCATAATATGTAGTATGTATTATCGTCGTGATCCTTTCTCCTAATAACAATTTCTCAATGAAACATCGATTCAGGCTACTAGAGAAGAAGCAGAGATTAGACTGGCTGAAATGAAGAAATCTTCCTACGAGTTCAACAGAGATATTGTTCTTGGAGCTAAAAATTTAGTGAGTAAAGGTACAATTGATATTCGTTTAAGTTATACCCACGATAGTCGATATCTAGCGTTATCATTGATAAATATTGATATTGAAGAATATTTACCTGAGTCCTGACATTCTAATAAATTCCAGAGAACTGGGAGGGTAGTTGCTGAGCGAGTAACACGTTATTTTGAAGACAAGATGAGAAGCCGTAAAGCTCTTATTGAGAAGCTACGTTTGAAAAACTCAACACTGAAAGTTCAGAAGAAGAAACTTCAGTTGCAGTTGAAACAGAAAGAAGAAATGGGAGAGGTTTATTTATCTTTCCATTTGAAGAGTATTTTGTGTTCGTTCTTAGGATTAATGAAGGTCTCCGATCCTCGGACATCAATACCTAGACAATCCCGACAGGTACAAAGTGCTACTGGTGAAATTAATTTCTGAAAATTGTCAGGTATTGCACGAGGTAGATTTCAAGCAGTTAAGGATCGAGAATAACCAGTACTTGGAGAAGATTGATGAGAGGAACCAGGAGTTGCTGAAACTCAAACATTCTTCTGGAAACACGCTTCAAGTAAGCCTGTTGAAAACTGAAAAGTTGATATACTCAAATAATACTCACTAGTCGCTAGTCTGCAATCATATTATCGAATCTTCGACATAGTTTCATAATAATTTTGTAAAAATAAATAATTGTGAGTCACTTCATTCATTATATAACTTTTGGATCATAGGAATTTGTTTCCCTTTGAATCAATCAAACTAGATGAATTGTTGTAAATACTGAGATCAAACTATCAATCTACAGGCTATCGTCAAACATGTTGCAAGGCGTCATCTTCAGTGACATAAGCCCTAGAAATTGTAAAAAGTTAGTAAAACCCAAAATTTCTTTAAAAATCTGAACACTCTTAAAACGGTTATAAAGTTAAAATTAAGATGTTAGGAGTAATGGAAGGCCAAAAGGATTTATAGTGTTAATTCCCAAAGGTTTTAAAGTCTTGAGTAGTTGAATATATTTATGTTCACGGACATCCAAAGTTTTAGGACTAGAATTATCAATAATTGACACATTAAAAATGTTGTTAAAATCTTCCCTTTGTCTAAAACCATGATCCAACAAATGTAAACCCAAACTATATTCATCACTTGTTTCATCTACCTTATCACCATTTAAAAGTTTATAATATTTGACCCTATGTTCTCCAGTCCTAACCCGTAGAGATCGAGTTGTGCGACCGACGTAAGCCTTTCCACAGACACTACATTGGAACAGATAAATGATGTTGTAGCTCTGGCAGTTTCCAGGGCCAGGGGAAGCTTTAACCTTCTTGCCGTTCACTTTGAATTCACGGGTGCCTTTGACAAGTTCACAACATTTGCATCTTGGCACATTGCATTTGCTGGTTGGGCCATGTTGAGCTCCTAAAGCAAGTTCTTTCAATTTGACGAGGCGAGATTTTAGGCTCGGCCCTGTTTTCTTTGTGTAACTGAAAATTGTCTTCCTAGGTGTGGCGGATGTTGAGGAGGTCTCTTGGGATGTTTCAGCAGTGTCACTTTCACTGAAACTCCTCGTTCTTGAGAGGTGTTCTTCATACTTCTTAGTCACAGACACCAGATCATCATCACTACCATAAGTAGATATGACCCTGATTGGAAGATGTAATGATGTCTGGTCATCAGGAGCCTGAACTTTGCGTGACAGTGATCTTGCTGTGTTAAGGACCTTATTACTGATGTTCTCAATCATTTTTCTAGGGTAACATGCGGCAAGGAAGGCTTTTTTGAGGTTGTTGAGATGTTCTTTCAGGCGTTCTTGGCAGTTGATAATCCTTCTGAGTCTAAGGCATTGAGAGTACACGATACCGGAATAGATATGGTTAGGGTGGGAGCTTTTAAAATGTAGGTATGAACGAGAGTCTGTTGGCTTTATGAACAAATCCGTTTGGAGGGATCCTAAGGAATCGAAGGTGAACATGATGTCAAGGAAAGATACGTATTTACCAGGATCTTCTATTTGGTATTCATCAATGATTAGGCCATGGGAGAGGAGTGCTTTGTTAACATCTGCAATCCAAATTTTGAACTCATCTGTAGTTCCCTCAAACAAACCTGCTCCGTCGTCAATGTAACGCCTGGCTGATACGATCTTATTCATGAGCTCTGGGTTACTATAAACACATTTGTTCATTAGGTAGTAGACTGCTATGTTTGCGATTTGGACACATAGTGATCCACCCGTAGGGATACCGATGAGCTGTATGAACAAATTTTGATCGAACACCCCAGCAGAGGATCGAAGGCTCAATTCCACCAATTTGGTGAGCCATTCCAGAAATCTTCAGACCAATCTTCTCTGCATGATGACATAGCGGAATTCAGGGCCTCTATGACGAGGGGTGGTGTTAGAGAATCATAGAGGGCCTTAAAGTCGTAGGTAAATGATCTGAAGCCTTTCTTCTGTACTGGGGAATGTTCACTATCCACGAAATCCAACCATTGAAGGGCATCAGTGCTATCAGTCAAAAGGTCAGAGCAGAAATCTTTTTCAAGATCCTTCAGGTATTGGCTAGCGAGGAAAACATCACTGCGTTTTGTGATTCCATCCTGGAGTGCCGTGATGAGCCTGAAGGGGGGTTCGACTCCTGGTTTAAGGTCTTCCTTGTGAAGCTTGTGGATCTTTAGGGTGGGGTAGAAATAAGCTTTACCAGGTTTGAAGTGGGAAGAAGTACTCTTGTTGTTAGTAACTGTACCATCACTGTTTAGATTGTTGGTAATACCCATGATGTCTTTAGCTTCTTTTGGTGTAACAAAGTTTTTCTTTTTTCCCTCTATCCATAAATCAAATAGTTCCTGGTGTAGGTCTTGCGTAGGGTCTTTAGCGAGCTTTTTATACACTAGGGGGTTGTCGAGCTTTTCCTGTGTTCTTCGCTTTAGCATAGCTGGGTCCACTAGTAACACGGCTCCACCTTTGTCAGCTGCAACTATTGCAAGTTTTTCATGTTTGATCATTCTTTCTAACCATTTGAGGCCACGGGACTCCATCTTGTTGAGGTTTTTAGGCTGTAGATTAGTTTTAGGTCCTCTAATGAGTTGCTGATCTAAGTCCGCTGCCATGGTGTTTGTAATCTCATTGATGGATTGGTCCTCACTTGGGGGCTTTCTACCGTAATACTTCCTTGATAGTTGTGGAGGTAGTCCAGTTGGGGCGGTCTGTTCCAAATCAAGCGTTGATAGGTCCTCACATGATGTTGTAGGTGAGCTGTTGAGGCTTCTTGTTGAGGCAGTTACGATTCTGTTTATTGTTAAGCGCATGTCCAAACGAGCCTCCTCCGTGTCAACCTTTGGGGTTGGTACAAAACCTAGCCCTTTGTTTAACACTGCTATCGCTTCAAGTGGAATTTCTTCTCCCACATCCACTAGTACCACGACACTTCCTTCGTCTAAGGCCTTTCGAGCAACTTTTGGATTCGACACAACTTTTCGAGCAACTTTTGGATTCGACACAACTTTTGGATCATATCATAGAATGGGATCACGTCACTTCGGATCACGTCACTTCTGTAGATACTTTTGTGTGTAAACGAGTGCATGGTTCATGTGTAACGGACGGTAAACGAGAACATGAGAAGACGTCTCTAAGTATGTCACCCTGGAATCTGATCAATCGTTTCATCATGTAGAGATTGGAACGTGAAACGTAGATAGGGTAGATAAGTATAGGAGCATACAGTATATAATAAGACGGATTGAATTTGGGAAGAGTATCTCATTTTTCAGTTGCACTTTTACAACTACCACCTCTACATTTCTACAGCCATGTTCGATAAAGATTCGGTCAAGATTGTTCGAGGAAGAACTCTTACCAGTCAGAATCTCCTACACTGTAGTTTCCGCTACTCTGTTGATGGAAGAAAGTTGACTCTTGATGGACGCCAAGCTTGGAGATGCGTGAAGAAGAAAGAAAAGTGCTGTAGTCGACTCTACACTCTTAATGGAACCTTGGTGACGGTCACGAAAACTCATAATCACGACGCTAACATTGCCGACTGTGAAGTCAAAGAAATCCTCTCAAAAGTCCACGATCTGGCTGCTAGTTCGATGACTATAAATCACAGAGACTACTGTTTTATCACTGGATCCCTGTCTAAGGGTGCACGTGTCCGTCTCCCCAGCGAACAAGCCCTGAAGAAGAAGTTACAGAGAGCTCGCCGGCAGAAGAAACTCTATCCTGGAGCCATAACAACCAACCCTGAACAAGAGAAGGAAGACTGCATTCCTCCCTCAAGTGAGACACTGCCCATTTTATCGGACACTCTTCTTCATGAACTCCACGAATTTATTCAGACCAACGGATAATATCTCTCAGCCCTTCAAATGAAGCTGACGAGGACAAATCGGAAATGATTCTTTTACATTTTGGGAGATTTGTCGTTGTAGAAGATAACTCAAAACTACAAGAAGAAAATAATACACTTGTAAGATGATTAGAGGAAGAGTTCTTGTTTTACTTGGATGTGTTGAAATTGGTTGAGATATGGTTGAGATTGGTTGAGATAATTGGTTTTCGGGGTGTGTTGTATAGTCATAAATCTATTGAATTATGTTATGCTCTAACTAATCAATCCTTGTATAGTATGCTTTATCAGTAAATTAGATTCATCATTTAAATTCAACTAAAATGATAATGGCAAATTTCCAGCTAGCTAGTTTTTCTCGTTCCTCTGTCTTGGTTTTATCGCTGCTTTTTCTACTCCACATTTACCCCAGATCTGTTCCCTCGTATCAAAGTGTATCGGTTTTTTAAACCCTTCTCAATCAGGTTTTGAACACATACAAGAAGAAGCTGAATAACTTGACCATGGAATCGAACAGATTAAAATTGGAAATCTCTCAAAGGAACGAACTGCTAACTAAAATCGGTAAGAATAATATCCTTCTGAACCTAATCTAATCATTTACGTTTATATTTTCATAGAAACACTGGCAAATACTGGCATTATGCTACTATATAACTCTAGATCTATCCCTGTCAGACAAAGAAACCGAATTGGTTGAAAAGGAGCGAGAAAAGGCCGAGAGCATTAACGCTAATTTGAGAAGACAGCTTCAAGACTACATTGTCCCAGAGGTACAAATATTTATCTGTCTTATCTTTACTTATCTTTACTTATCTTTACTTATCCAGTTTGACAAATCTTTATGGGGAGTTCCTCTTCTATTTTTTTTTGGAATAAGTGATAATATAGCTTATCCCTGGAAATGTTTCTAAAATGTTACAATACCTCAGGTTCTTGACTACGTTCAAGTACGGGCCGATCTGTACGAGCTCACTAAGACTATGAAGACGTGGGAGAGGAAGGTGGACATTGCGCAGGTTTATATTCAGCCCACTGTACTGTGGATTAGTTCAATGTACAGTTTTGTGGTATTACGAAACATATTTTTTTATTTACAGTCGATTATCATAACCTCGACTTGGAACTATTTGATTGCTTGCAACTTTAAAATAATTATTCCAGCTAAATCCTATCCATTATGAAAGGGCACCGCATGTTACTATTTACAATTTAAAAGATATGGCGTGTTTTGAGTGTAATCATGCGTGCAAACAGTGTACACTGGCAGACTGTTCTGTTGAGGTCCAGAATATCGTACTTCTTGGCACGCGCGATAACAAATTTATAATGAAAGTGTTTTTATTTTCGCGCCGTTTGTTCAATTTAACCAAATATGGTATAATATGTTTAGTTTCCATGGCAACATGTGCAAGATTCTTATTTTGCTGGCTATTTTCTCTCTCATCCTATAAGTAAGGTCGCTACTTTGTTTTCACTGCTAACAAGGAGGTTAAGTGTTCTTTTGAGATTTCGTCAGCTTCTGTGTCGCCACAAAACAATTACAAATGTTTAAACAGCAGCTAAGTGACATTATGGTTTGAAATTGCTTCCACCTCAAGAGAACTGTGTGCATATTTCTCAGATAAAACGGCTCGAAATACTCAACAATATTCCGGCGGAAGATACGGCTCTGGTAACTTTCAGTACTTCTTACATATAAACCATGTACGTACATCGTCAATACGCGATAAATCAAATTGTTCTAGACATCTGTTACGATTTTTCGCTGTCCGATATCAGATAAAAACAGATAAAAACTCTCTTTGGCTCCGGATATTATTGAAAACATTGCGTCTCCGTGATGTCATCGAGATAGTCCGGCGCTCCAATAGCAAATATTCACTAAAGGCAATTAATATTCTTGGCTAGGGTCCCGCGACTAATGAATCTTCGTACATATAATGACAAGTTATCATATATCAGTATAATGAATTGCCGGGTCCTTAAAGTCCTCATTATGTCACCTCGTCCTTCGCCAGAGCTCCATAAAACTATTGTCTCGTGGGTAGGTTATTGATTGCTGTTTCTGTTTCAGATGGAGCTACAAAAGTATCAGAAGCAATGGCTCATGATGAGGGAGCACAATCGAACTGTCAATCCGTGGGCCACAATGGAGCAGCACGCAGCGCTCTAAGGATCTGCGAGGAATGGAGAACACACGAACTGCAGGAATTTACCGTCCCGAAAGTTATGGCGGTGCCAGGCGGGCAGTGCCCTGGTTATGTTATAATTACCTATCCTTTATAGTGACCAACTTATCCCGAAATATCCGTAGATCATTATCGAGACTTCTGGCGATTTTCTATTGTGATTAAATTAAAATAGTGACTAGACCGTAAATGGATATCAGAGAACAAACTTTCAGTTGTACCATTGTTTATGGTAGCACAGAACTAATCCTTGTCTGCGATAACAATTGTCATTTGTAATAAAACTGGCTGGTTTCAAATTCCAAATCCCCAACTAAATAGTCAAATTTTAAGATGATAGCACAATTTTCGGTCATTAAATCTGTACTGTTAGTATATATCACATTGTATGTGAACAGCTGGTCGCTGTTTTATTGATACATAGAGCTAACTTTTGTAGCATGGATGTGCGGATTATCACAGCTGTAAATATTTGTAAGAAATACAAACGTTTTTAACGATTTTACCCAATTATGCATTCTTTAGTGATCTCACCGCGATCTAGACGAAATTTCTATTTTAACGGTTGTATTGCAAGGGGGGTATCCTTTGACGTAATATGCCGGCTTGTTTGCAGATATAAAGAGATAGTGGAACCAGGTGATCGAGCAGCCTTTACTGGGCTCACCACACACATTGTATTACTACATACCAGAAATGTTTTTCTAAAATTACATCTGGGTGGCTATTGCGACGTAGCTACGAGACCAGGATCGGACTACGTAAAACTCCTGCTCTGGTAATATGAGAATAGATGTCGAATATAGGAGCGAGATCATTTGTCGCTCGAAAAAAGGATCCTCGGGGCTAGGGCAGCAGTGCAGCCCACCCTGGTACACGTGACTGCGCTTAGCTATATTTTGGTTTGCTATTTCTACCTTGCGATATTACCACATCGCACCACAATTAGAACCTAGTCCACGTTCAAAATACATCACCGATTAGGGAAAGCCCGGGGAATTCGGATTTTGGTCAATTTTCCGGGACCTATTTTTAGAAAGGTGTATTGGGTAGTGATGATCTGACATCACTACAACGATTAGGGCACGCAATGTCCATGGAGCCGAGAAGAATGGTAGTTACGAACGGTACCTGGTTCGTGACAAGGAGTGTAGACGGAAATCTAAATACCCGCACTTTGCACAAAACTAAATACAGGTCAGTAGCCGCTTTACCCTAATTAGGACACTACCTTTAAATTGTTTATCTATTAGCATATTCGCTATTGAACAAAAACTGTTACAAAAACAATGGTCGGTGAAGAAATTTGGCGACTGGAGGTTATTTTCACATTGTATTTCATGCCGTACGAATAAATCTATTATTTCCATTGTAAGAATCCCAATTATATCGACCAGATAGTCTGGGGATCACTTGAAGCTGCAATGCAACCTTACCGATAGATTAGAAAATTGTTTCCTGGATTGGTTCTCCGTTATGAGTGAGAGGGGTGGCTGGCCGGATGGCGGCACAGGAGTTGGTCGAGCGATCTCGTGGCTGTTGTGTGAGCTCCCGTGCCGAGCTAACTGCGCAGCTGCAGTTGTAACGCAGAGTAGCAGATTCTCCCGCTCTCATTCTCTGATGTGGTGGTCAATGAACAGCTACCTCTTCCAATAAACATTATCCATCTTATGCAGACTAAGGATAGTAAAACTATATTTAACCGGCCGAGTGGAGATGCACATTAATGGCTGGGACATGAAGGAGGGAAGGAAGTGCCGGGATTCGTGGAGCTGGCAGTGAGACATCTGACATGGGCGAGGAGCGTGTGTCGGACATATGGCACACACCACAACCTGCACATGTGTAATATCAACAACTTCCAACATTTGATCCACCCTCTTGTGGATAATTCGTGTCACCTGGTCTCCATCTGACCTCGCTAATGTGTCACGTGCATTTTGTCGTCATATGGTCAGCGCGGCTTATTTGATCGTCATTTATATATAGCCTCGCTCCAGCTTTATATATAGATCTGCCGCTAGAATATAGATTGTCATTATCTGTTTACCCCGGAACACAATAGATAGACCTAAATTTCGCTATAATCTAATGAAATTAGTGGTAAGAGAATGACGCAGCATTGTCTCATTCTATGAAATAAACGAGGCACAAGTACTCTTTTAAAGCGTATCCTCTGTGGAACAATATTAGTGGATATAGTGAAGATACTTGGAGCTAGTCGTAAAAGGTGTGGCAATAGGGCTGATACATCAGTCTGGGCTGGAGGACTCGAGTATCAAAAAAATATATCAAATTGTGGAATGCTGAGCAGAACGGTGGTTTATTTGAGCATCCGGAGCTCGAATATGATAAAGTTTGTGGTCGTTTAGGACGCCCTATGTCTAAGACAGGGTGAAATCGATCGAAAGAATCGAGAAAATAGAATTGGGCTTGAAACGAATCGTTACTTCGACTAATGAGAAGAAGGTAATCCTCCTAACACAATTTGTAACACTCCCCAGAGCTTGCTTTCCGAGGCGAGGCTAGCTTAACATGAGCCAGTTGTGGCTTTTAATGTTGCGAAATTCGATAAACAAGAAAGAATAGTCATTGTCCGATGCGGCTGGGTGCTGATTCAAGGGTAACCTCCTCACTCATAACGAGGAAGATACCCCCATCTCCATCATAAGCCTCAATTGTTGTGGGCCACTACTTATTTAGGATCATTGGTGACAGAGACGACAACCTTGAGGCTGGTGTACCACTGATTTATAATCTCTTTAATTAATGATTTGCCGAGGAGCTACTAATTGTGCTAGCAGTTAAAATAGTCAAAATGCTTAGTCCGTCTGGTATTAGCCGTCTGTGTTCTACACTACTGAGCACCAGATCTATGCTCCATTGAGTTTTATCCGAGCTTTTATTCCATTCTCTCTCCCGTCTACTGGCCGATAACCATATCCGTTCTCCGATCGTTTTTCGTGCATTTCTCGTTTCCCCTTGGCTGAGCAGCGTGGTCGCTGATCAGTGAGTTGGCCCGAGTTCGCAGGGGAGTTAGTACTTAGTTTAAGTTACAATAAGTTATAATATAATGAGTGTGTCCTGGAGATGTTACAACTACAAGAGCACGAGCTTGATCTTCTGGGAGACCACCTAGCCTGCCAGTGAGGCGATACCGGCTCTCAGATCACCGATAGTTAGTTAACAGGGGGTACAAACAAACACTTAGCACACATTGTAATTCTTCAACCGAGTACCTTCCTAATTTTCTCAGCGATCATTCGTGCATAAGACTCTCAACTCTGAGAGTCCTCCTCGTTTGAAACATTACCGTGTAACATTAACCGAGCAGGATCTAGACTTGCCAGGATTGTTCCAGGACAACAATACTCGTGACCAGCGTGTAGACTGGGCATTTAACAGCTATAATAACGGTGGTGGAAGTCGAGTTAGGAACAATGTTCTGCTTTCAGCTCGTGTCATTGCCGGAACAACAACAGATGTTATGTGCTCACTACTCACCTCAGCTCAGGGAACATGGCACCTCATTTTTCGATTTGCTAGATTCTCAAGTCATATGCTGCCGAGCTCCACTACTCAGTTGCCGTTCCGGCCTTTGTCTAGACCTTACAGTTGAGAAGTTCAGAGAGGACGCTCCATCACAATACAGTTTCACAACACTCTTTACTTTCTTTTTATATCAGTTCGTTCTTTAGATTGAAGTAGACAGCGGGGGCACTATGAACGCGATGAAGAATGAAATAGCATGACACTGGGGGCTCGGCCTATAGTAGTATATTTCAACGACAGCTGTCCTGTGAACAATGTGATCTATACATGATATTCAATAGATCGAGATCTGTGCCGTTCTGGTAATAGTTGCACACATCAACAAAAGGTTGTCTGGATCAACGCGGACAGTTTGCAGATCAGCTCTGTACCGATTAACGATTGTAGAATTTGGCAGATGAATTATTTATCAATTAGATACCTTCTCTCTCCATCTCTCGTTCTCTACTTAGTATTAAAATTTTGATCAATATTTAAGTGGCAAGCTATTATCCCAAACTTGAGCCAAGGATATCTATTATTTATGGACTCTGCAGATCGGTGTAACGATTTGTTAAAATATTTCGACTTATGACGACACTGTTTAGTTGTAGATAGATTAAAATCTAATTCTGTAATGTGCAAAACCATTTATTCGCATAACCGTTTCACTTTTTTAACTGGAGCTGTAGCTCGCGATTAAGGCATCTTATGCTTACCAAGCCTTGCAGAGGGATCCAATAATATGGTCGCGAGTTGGTCAGGTGAGCGCATTTTGGCACGTGTTACTAGCACATGACGCGTTAAGATCATTCAGATGATTCATTGTGAAAGGTATCCAATTACGCTGGTCGCTTGGTCAGTATGTAGATCACGTGTGTGGCTGAAGGTCGATGAGCGTGGGCAGCGTACTGAGACACACGGCTCGAAGATGGCCCTCACCGCTACCCCAGACACGAGTTATACACACTTGCCATCCCTCCTTTTCTATCCGGACTGTTCTGCTTCGAACGCGACAAGCACCCGCCATTTCGACAGCCGAACATTTCGAATTGCTCGACTCTCCAACGAACAGCCGACACCTAGAAACATAGTTACAAGGTAAGTTCAAACTTTCCCCTTTTCCCCCTGCCTCTTGTTTTCTTGTGTCGTTATCTTGTCTGCCTGAATTTTATCTTAACTCATTGGTTTTGCATTTATTCAACGCCTACTCTGCATTGTTTGGGTTCCCCAGTGCATTGTTTGTGTAACAGCGTGCAGATTAAGTCTACTTCTAGAACCTCAGGACAATGCTGCATATTGCGGTCCCGGTTGATATTGAAGCTAGTAAGTCATTGTGCTTATAATTGTCATGGGTAGCTTATGTTGGCGACGGTCTGGTCGCGCCGCCGCTACTAACTAAGTCGAGTGAGGAAAGCTTTGTCCTCTCAAGAGTTGACACTCCAGCCCATCAAGTGCAACAATCCAACAGCTCCGCATCGCTAACGATCCTCCAAAACAAAGTAAATTAAATTTAGAATCATTGGTCTGTGTATCACAGTATTGTCTATTAGTAGTATTGTCTATTGATAACAAGACCGTATTCTAACCGGCAGTTAGTCCGAACACCTACTCTAAATTGACGGGTCCAGTAATGAGTACGGGAGGAGTAAGATTATTAGTTCTAAAGATTTCCGAGATCTTGAGCAGCAGCTTCCACTCGTTAGTTCACTCCTTTTCCGTGAGGCTTGTTCCAGTCTAGATCATATCTCCGTTCTGGTGATTATCCCTAGTAGTGCCTTGGCGCCGACCTGTGAACTACGGAACCTGCTGATGATGGCAGTTCTGTGTTCGTCAATCTCCTTTTGTGCTGTCTTCTTCTCCCCCGCGTAATACGTACAATTCCGCATCGTTGTTCCTTTGAGTTCTGAAATCAAATAAGTATAATGCTAATCGACTTGTTTTTTAATGAAAACAGTGATGAAGTAGTGACAGTGTTG